GGCGGGATAGGGTTTTCCCCTCGAGGGCGAAGTAATAACATTTTCCTGGTTTTTACCGATATGGATACCTTTTAATTTTTGTTTTTTCATATTTTACAATTAGTCCCTCCAATGGCTGGAAATTGCGACAACGTACCTCAATTCTTCAGTTATTAATTAGTCCCTCGTTATTTGAAATTGCTATTAGCTCTCTCAACTCAATTAAGTTGCTCCAAATTGATCCCTTTAATAGCTAGTTTTACTCTTGATTGAAGAAATTTATCTAAACATAGCTTAAGAACTGGATAGCTAATAGAAATTTTAATAATTTGAGGGAGTAAGTCAGAATAACTTAGGAATTGGGAGAACCTATCAACAAGTTGAATGATGTGAAAGATTGATTTTAAGGAGAAAATGTTATGGCGCCCCAATATTATTAAGACAATGTGATAAAGCCTGAAGACTAAGTCACTGAGCGTCCTGATGCGGCATAATTATGTATCAAAATTGCAAGTGCACAATTTATCAAGTTATAGTATAAAAAATATCGATCCCACGAGGAAGGTGATTTTAAGAGATTATTAAACTTGGTTCTTATATTTTGTGCATGACAATTAGGAATAAAGAATAAGTATGAATGTGATGAGTGATTTGTTGTGAATATTTGCAAAAGATAATAAATTGAATTTTAGAGGAGAGAAGGAAGAATTAAAGAATAAATGAAATCACAAGGCAAGAAAGATGAATGAATAAAATCAAGAAATAAAACCAAGAATGAAAAGAAAATTTAAGAAAATCAAGATGGAGGATTCAAAAGAAGTAAGAAATCTAGAATATAATCCACTAACCAATTTCAATTACAAAATATAAACTATTCTCTTTTTATCATATTTCAACTTAGATTTATTAAGCATAGATTATCAAACCATTTAAGAAAAGTGTAACCTATCAAATTATCATCTAAGCTAAAATTACTATTCATGATAAGAACAACAACATGATAATAATCCTAGAATTTATAAGCATAACCTATCAAACCATTTAAGATAAGCATAGATTATCAAATTCTTCTACCGATTAGCTCTCTAGTTGATTATCCTAAACATGAACATTTTAAGTACAAGAGAATAATTCATACAATATAAAGGAAATTAGACTAGTTTCATATAATTCTAAACTTCCTACAAGAATTAAATTCACATCTTTAAGAAATAAAAACAAGAAAAAGAACTAATTACAAAAATAAAAAGAAAAGAAAAATCTAAACTATGAACAAGAAATAAATCTAACTACAAAGAAAATAAAAATCTAAACTACAAAATAAATTGCAGAAATTAAATGCAAGAAAAATAAATCTACTCTACAAATTAAAGTGCAAAAAGAAATAAAAAGACAAGAAAATAAATCTACACTACAAGCATGAATTTAAATCTAACTAATAAGCAATAATAAAGAAATTACTAAAAAGAAATAAAAGAGAAAAGAAATGCAAACCTTCAAATTGCTCTTCATCTCCATCCTCATCATTCAACAAAGAGGAGAAAGAACAAATTTAAAGAGGAAAAAATTATTTTTATTAATTGCAACTAAAGTTACAATTTTTGGAAGGCCTTCTCAATTAAGAGTAGCCCTCCTCTCCAAAAGGAGTTTACAAAATTTTCACACCTCTAACCCCTCACTCTCTACCCCTATTTATAGTAATCTTCAATGAATATGAGCCATTGGATTTGTCTTGAGCCCCAAGCAACAATCTCCACCATTGAATTTGCTTTTTGTTCTTCTCTAGCCCAAACATAGGAGGCCCATATGATTTATTTGATTTT